CTTGCGCCTCCCTCCCCACCCCACCCCCTGGCGGTGGGTGACCGCTGAGCCGTGCTGAGTGCCAGCCAGAAGCCAGACCAACAGAACCGTACCGACCTGTCTAGGTATTTTGCTCGACATAGAGACAGGAGACAGTCCTTGTGTCTGGTTCTCCAGGGGCCAGGATCTCCAGGACATTCTAGGGCGCTCCACGGCCGGCCCTTCTCCGCCTCGCCCCCTGCCCTCCGCGAGATATCAGTCGCTCAAGCCCTAGGTAGTGCCTCCGGCCCTGCACGGCTTCCAGCAGAGTAGAGCCAGCAGCCAGCGTTCATTGCCCAGTCAGCTAACGCTACTGCTGGTCCAGCGCCACGGGCTTCGGGGATGCTGCCCCCTCCTCTCAAAAATAAACTCTGGCCGTCTGCAAAATTGGGGGAGGGTAGAAGGAAGTGGCCAGGGGATAAAGTGGAAGAGAAGTAGGGAAAATAAGTCGTAACGAGTGGACCTCCCGAGCTTCTGTACCATGTCAAATAGTTCAAGGGATTCATGCACACTCAAGAAAAATTTTGCAAGTCAAACCTGAAATTTTGCTTCATTTCCGTCAGTATACGCGGTTGCTTTGTTAAAAACTGGCACCCACAATACTGAGTTCTCTGGAACTCTCCAGTACCGTGTGTCAGGGCGGCTACACTGGAAAAACAAAGGTTTCGAATCTTTTACTGCCTCTTGAAAGGCACGAAAGTCGTTATTCGCACCCCTGGGAAGGCATGAAAATGCCCTAAAGCTGCTAAATTTTAGTGCCTTCGGAGACTTTCGTGCCTTTCTTAAGGCATTAAAGTGAAGCACCTTCACAAGACACCAAAGTCGTCGTGAAGCAGTGGCGTATTAAGGGGGGGCGGACAGGGGGGGCGGAGCATCGAAAGTTGCCTACATACAGGGGTTTTGTAGGTCAAATTGCCTACCTTTAGGCGGCTATCTAGTGGCCCATAGGGGGGGGGGGCGATCGCCCCCACCGCACCCCCCCTTAATACGCGCCTGTCGTGAAGCGGAAGGGGGTAAGTCTACTTAGAACCATGACCATTAATCGTCTGCCACTGCCGTCGGGTACATCTGAAGTTTCCAAAATGACGTTGGGAAGTTAGTTTTCCGTACAAGTTCACTTCTCATGATGACTTCAGAAACTTCGTATACAACTAACGGCAGTAACAGACGATGGAAAGGTCATGGTGCTAAGTTGACTTCCCCCTTCTTGAGCTTCTCGGCAGCTTTGTCTCTCCAGTGTATGCGGGTTTGCCCTACTCTCTCTATCCGTAAGGCGCCCTGGGTAGGCAAAACTGAAACACTACTGCGTCGTAGCCCTGACACGCGGTACCTACACACGCTAT